GGTACCTCCTTCAGGCCGCGGTTCTTGATGTTCAGCTTCTTGGCATTGACGAAGTCGAAGAGCTTCCCGTACTCCTCCCTGCGGGACAGGGGGTGAGGGCTGGGGGCAGAGCCTGGGGCAGCGCCCCCCGACCCGCCCCCACCTCACCTCTCGATGCTGCTGAAGGTGTACTGCGTGCCCTGCTTGGTCTCGATCTCGAAGTCGAAGGAGCGCGTGGTGGTGGTGCCGCGGGCGAAGTTGACGAAGCTGATCTCGTCGAAGCGGATGTGCACGGGCGGCTTGTGCACGTAGATGAACCCGCGCTCCAGCGGGTACAGCAGCCCCGAGCTCGCCTTGTACGAGCAGGTGATGCACTGCGCGCCCGAGTGCCTGCGGGGGGCGCGCCCTGAGCACCGGGGGGGCACTGGCACCCCAGAGCCCCCTGGCTGCTCCTGGCCCCACACACAGCACAGCAATGGACTGAAAGAGGGGGCAGACCCAGGGCCAGGGAGGGCTCTCAACCAGTGGCCTCAGCACCCAGAGCAGCAGCTCGCCCATTCTAGGAGCTCCCCATGACCCATCACTGAGCGCTTGGGCCCAGAACCTGCCCCATGTGCTGGGCTGCATCACTAGAGCATGAGCAGCGGCTCAGGGAGGGGATCCTAGCCCCCTGCTGTGCTCTGGGGAGACCTGAGAGCAGCTCCAGTGCCTAAAGGGGCTGCAGGGAACCTGGAGAGGGGCTTGGGACAAGGGCCTGTAGGGCCAGGCCAAGGGGAATGGCTTGAACCTGCCCGAGGGGAGACTGAGCTGAGCTCTTAGGCAGAAGCTCTTCCCTGTGAGGGTGCTGAGGCGCTGGCACAGGGTGCCCAGAGAAGCTGTGGCTGCCCCATCCCTGGCAGTGCTCAAGGCCAGGTTGGACACAGGGGCTTGGAGCAAGCTGCTCCAGTGGAAGGGGTCCCTGCCCTGGCAGGGGTTGGAGCTTTAAGCTCCCTTCAACCCAAACCATTCTATGCTCCTATGGGGAGGCCCTTGCCCCACAGCAGGAGGATCCCACATTCCCCTGTCCCTCGGGCAGCAGCAGCGTTCCTCACCCCTGGAAGTTCCCGGGCACAGTGATCTTTCGGTTGACCAGCGCCTTCATGACCCTGCTGACCATCTCGTAGAGGGACCCCGACATGTTCTTGGTGAGCCGCCCCTCAAAGCGTTTCTCCACCTCCTCCCTGTGCAGGAGCAGGGCCGTGGTGAGAGCAGGAACCCAGCAGGTCCCTCACCTCCCTCCTGCTGCCCAAGAGCCAGGCCAAGGAAGGGGCCGGGCAGGAGAAGAGCTCACTCGTTCATGTTGAGGGTCAGGGAGATGTCCTCATCCTTGGAGAAAAGCAGGATAAGGAAATGGTAGCGGGTCTGGCCTTGCTTTATGGGGGGGTCCAGGCTGATCTGAGGAGAGAAGAGGTGTTGAGGAGCTGAGGTCCCCCTGCACCTCCCTGTTGCCACCCTCCCCAGGGCAGCGCAGGCCCCAGTGCCCCCCTCACCACAAAGAACATCTGCCGCTGGTCCTTGTGCGGGAGCAGGAAGAGCCGCAGCACCGTGGTGTAGGGGATCTTGTAGTCGAAGGTCTTGCCATGCAGGTGCAGGAATGTGGGGTAGATGCGGATGTCGTAGCGCCCGCGCGGCGTCAGGCACTGCAGCTCCCGGAAGATGCAGATGGCATCGCCCGTGGCCTGGATCACATCCGCCTTGGAGAGCACGTTCTGGGCGAAGGCCTGCGAGGGGATGGAGCTGTGGCGGGGAGGAGGCACCCAGCTGGGCCCAGCGTGGCCCCGGAGCAGCCCCGCAGCCCCCTCACCTCCACCGGGTCCACGCCGTCCTCCTGGGTTGGTGGCACGTAGAAGCGAACCTCCATGAGCGAGACGTCGGCGTCATCGTTCTGGTGGAACTCGAGGGTCACCTCGTTCTTGCCCGTGGTGCACTGGGACACGTTGCTCAGCGGGATCTCGAACACCGGCTGCTCCCCGATGTCGAAGGACAGGAGCTGCCCTGCGCCGGGGGACGCGCCCATCACTGCAGGACCTGACCCCCTGCGGCCCCAGCCCCATCTCCAGCACCGGCCCTCCTCTCCTGCCTGCATCTCCAAGCTTCCTCCTCCTGGCTGCAGCCCCCCCCGGGGATGGGCGCTGATCAGGCATGAACAGGAAGGAACCATCTGTTCCCATCTTGCCCTGCTCTCAGGCCCAGGGCTCAGCCACCAGCTCCCATGGCTGCCCCAGGAGCCTGCCAGACCTCACAGCTCCCACCCTGACTTTCCCTTTACACAGAGCATCCCTGCTGCAGGGAATCCCCTCCCCTGCCTCCCCTGGAGCTGCCATCTCCTGCTCTCCCAGGCTCCATCCTGCCACCATCCCCACCATCCCCAGGGCACCCCGAGCAAGCGGGTGGCTGCCTGAGGCACTGCAGGCACAGCCACACGGGTGGGAGCCCTCCAGCAGGACTCACCTCCGAACCTGACTGTGCCCCAGTTCCAGCCCTTCACACACAGATCCTTCTCGGTCAGCTCCAGGCAATAGTGGGTCTTGAAGAAATCCGAGAGCTTATCGAATTCCTGGGATGGGGCAGAAGGAGGGGGCATCAGAAACCACCCCACACGGGCTGGGGCCGGGGCATGACCCAGCACAGGGGACTGGGGCCCGGGCATGACCCAGCACAGGGGACTGGGGCCTGGGCATGACCCAGGACAGGGGACTGGGGCCCGGGCATGACCCAGCACAGGGGACTGGGGCCCGGGCATGACCCAGCAGAGGGGACTGGGGCCCGGGGAGCTGCCCCTGGGCCGGGCACTCACCGACTCCCGGAACCCGTCGTACTTGTAGACGTGGCCGTTCTTGGTGAGCAGCCGGAGGCCGTGGCCCAGCGCCACGCGCCGCCACACGCCCTCGGCCAGCTCCGAGGCCTGGATGTTGTCCACCTTCCCCGTCTTGCTGTTCTTGAAGATGACGCCCTGGCGGCTCAGCCGCAGCCGCCCATCGTTCTGTGGGGCAGAGCCACGGCCCCATCACCGCGGTGCCCCCGAGCCCAGCCCTGCTCCCGCACCCCGCAGCACCCGACTGGGCACCGGGCACCCTCCAGCACCCCCCTGTTGTCCCCAGGCCCCGGTGCCCGCCCCACGGAGCCCCCGCAGCAGGCACAGGGGGCGCAGGAGCTGCTCCAGCTCCGTTCCCAACCGCAGCTCCGGTGCCCCCCCGGGCTCACCATGGAGCCCTTCACCTCCTGGTAGATCTCGTTGAACTCCAGCGTGTCGGCCATGGCGGCCGCCGGGACCGGGGGCTCGTGGAGCCGTCAGTGCCCCCCCCGCGCGGGCATCTCCCGGCACCTGGGGGGGGAGCGGGGAGGGATGGACCCCGGCTCCGCAGGGCCCGAGGCCGACCTCGGCCCCCCGGACCCGCTGTGATGGGGGAAACGGACACCCCCGGCCCCGCTTCCTGCCCCAGCGCAGCCACGAACCGGGCCCCCCCCGCACCCCTTCACCAGTGCCCCCCCCCCCCGTACCCCATCACCGGTGCCACCCCCGGTCCCGCTCTCTCCATCCCGCATCCCGGCCCTTCCCCTCCCGGTGCCCCCCCCCCGCACCCCAACCCCCCCCCATCATGGCCTCCCCCCCCTCATCCCCATCCCCGGGCCCCCACCCCCGCGCCTACCCCTCCCCCACACACACACCGGACCCGCCCCCCCCCCCCCCCCCCCCCCCCCGCCGCGCCCCCCCCCCCGGTGCTCCCCTTCCCCCCCCCCGCACCGCCGCCACTTTCCCGCCTGCGCAACACGAACCTCACGCGGAGCTTCCCCCGGGGCCGCCGCTGCCGCCGGAAGTCACCCCCACTTCCGCCATAGAGAGGAGCCGCTCTGGCCGCCGCTACGGGAGGACCGCCCTGCACAGGCAACGGGGCGAGACCATAGAGCGCCAGGAGGACTCCGCCTAGAGAGGACGTGGAGCTCGGTGCCCGCCCTGCCATAGAGCTGCTGGGTAGAGCGGCCGCTCCGCCCGACCGCGCCTGCCACGCCCGGCACCATAGAGTTGATGGCCAGCACCGGGCAGCCCCGGCTCCCCCAGTGGGGAACCCACAGACCGGCACCAAACCGGAACCCCTTAACGGGGCACCCCTAAACCGGGCATCCCAAACCGGCACTCCCTAATGGGGCACCCATAGACCGGGAACCCCACAGTGGGGCATCTCCCCCCAATGGGGCACCTCAAACCGGCACCCTCGAATGGGGCACCCCGCAGTCGGGCACCCCAAACGGGCATCCCGCAGTGGGCCATCCGTAGACCGGGAACCCCCAGTGGGGCACCCCCTTAGTGGGGCACCTCAAACCGGCACCCTCCAATGGGGCACCCATAGACTGGCACCCACAGACCGGGAACCCCAATGGGGTACCCCGCAACCGGGCACCCCAAACCGGCATCCCTCAGTGGGGCACCCATAAACCGGGAACCTCCCAGGGGGAACCCCCCCAATGGGGCACCTCAGACGAGCACCTCAAACCAGGCACCCCTCAATGGGGCATCCACAGACTGGGACCCCCCAGTGGAGCACCCCCAAACCGGCACCCCCCAAACTGGGCACCTCAACCCCACAGACCGGGTACCCCCAAACCGGCACCCCATGTGACACCCTCAATGGGGCACATGTAAAACATAGCGGCGGGGGGAGCCCAAACCGGGCACTCCCACATCAGCACCGCCCCCCCCAGCGCCCCCAGACCGGCCCCAGCTCAGGGCACACACACGGGGGTCCCCCCCACTAACCCCGCCTGCCCCTCACCCCCCACCCCCGGCCGTGACCCCGCCCCCGACCCGCCCCGTCCCGCCCCGAGCTGCCCGCACCAGCCGCTGCTGCCTGCACCCTGCCCGCAGCACCGCTCCCTGCCCGCACAGCCTCGGCACCAGCCCCGCTGCCCGCACCCTGCCCGCATCACCCCTCTCGCTGCCGGCACAGCCCCTCCATCATCCCCCCACCTGACCCCTGCCCCTCCGCTGCCCACCCCGCCCGCACCACCCTCCTCGCTGCCTGTACCGCTGCCTGCTCCTGCCCTGCCCGCATCCCCGCTTCCACAGCCTGAACACCGCCCTCGCTGCCTGTCCGCTGCCCATCCCACCGCTCCCTGCCCGGACATCCCCCCCCTTTCTGTCCGTCCCCCCCCGTCCCTGCCCGCCCCCCGATGCCGGCCCCGCGCCGCTGCCCGCCCTGGGCCATGCAATTCTTCTCGTACGAGACGCCCAAGTCGGTGGTGGTGAGGAGCTGGGTGGTGGGCGCCACGCACCGCGCCGTGCAGCTCCTCATCCTCGCCTACTTCATCGGGTGAGAGCCCGGGGGGCTCCGGGGACGGGGCGGAGCAGGGCCGGGCAGCGCGGGGACAGTGCGGGTGCCACCGTGGGGCCAGCGGGAGAGCGGGCGGTGCGGGTGCAGCCAGGGGAAGGTCCCGGGTGGGTGACAAGCGCCTGTCGGGGGAGCCTGCGCCACTCGTGCCGTGGTTGCCGGATTGTGCCGGGGGCTGTCGGGGGGGTGCCGGGGGCTGTCGGGGGGTGCCGGGGGCTGTCGGGGGGGTGCCGGGGGCCGTCGGGGGTGCCCGGGGCTGTCGGGGGGTGCCGGGGGCTGTCAGGGGGTGCCCGGGGCTGTCGGGGGGGTGCCGGCGGCTGTCGGGGGGGTGCCGGAGGCTGTCGGGGGGGTGCCGGGGGCTGTCGGGGGTGCCGGGGCTGTCGGGGGGTGCCGGGCTGTCGGGGTGCCGGGGGCTGTCAGGGGGTGCCGGGGGCTGTCGGGGGGGTGCCGGGGGCTGTCGGGGGGATGCCGGGGGCTGTCGGGGGGGTGCCGGGGGCTGTCGGGGGGTGCCCGGGGCTGTCGGGGGGGTGCCGGGGGGTGTCGGGGGCTGTCGGGGGGTGCCGGGGGCCGTCGGGGGGGTGCCGGGGGCTGTCGGGGGCTGTCGGGAGGTGCCGGGGGCGGTCGGGGGGTGCCGGAGCCCGGCCCCGCCGTCACCGTGCCCTGGGGTGCTGTCCCAGCTGGGTGTTCCTCCACGAGAAAGCCTACCAGGTGCGGGACACCGTCATCGAGTCCTCGGTGGTCACCAAGGTGAAGGGCATCGGGCGCTACGCGGGGCGCGTGCTGGACACGGCCGACTACGTGACCCCCCCCCAGGTGAGGCCGCGGGACCCCCACCCCGGCCCCCCCCCTCCCCAGGCCCCGGGGGTGACGGTGCGGTCCCCGCAGGGCACCTCCGTGTTCGTGGTGGTCACCAAGCAGATCCTGACGGAGCAGCAGGCGCAGGGGCTGTGCCCCGAGGTGCGGGGCTGGGGGGCAGCGGGGGGGCATTGGGGTGACAGCACCCCCCGCTCACCACCGCCCCGCAGAGCGAAGCCGCGTTCCGGTGCCGCAGCGACCGCGACTGCCGGGACAGGAGCCCCAGCAGCGGCAGCGGTGAGGGCCGGGGAGCCGAGGACAGCCCGCTCCGTGCACCCGTGGGCTGAGGCCGCCCCCTCCGTGCGCCCACGGGTACTGGGGCTGAAGCCGCCTGCTCAGCGCACCCCTGGGTGCTCCGCAGGGCTGCTCACCGGCCGGTGCGTGCCCTACAACGAGACCCTGCGCACCTGCGAGATCCGGGGCTGGTGCCCGCCCGAGGTGGACACGGTGGACGTGTGAGTGCCGGGGACACGGGGGGACACGGGGGGACGCAGGGGACACGGGGGACGTGTGAGTGATGGGGACACGGAGGACACGGGGGGACACGGGGGACGTGTGAGTGACGGGGACACGGGGGACACGGGGGCTGGTGGGGGGGCACGGGGGGGGGGACACGGGGGACGTGTGAGTGATGGGGACACGGGGGACACGGGGGACTGTGAGTGAGGGGACAGGGGGAGGGCGGGGGGACACGGGGGACGTGTGAGTGATGGGGACACGGGGGGACACGGGGGACGTGTGAGTGACGGGGACACGGGGGGACAGGGGGGGACACGGAGGACGTGTGAGTGATGGGGACACGGGGGAACACGGGGGGACACAGGGGGACACGGAGGACGTCTGAGTGACGGGGACACAGGGGACGTGTGAGTGCCGGCGACACGTGGGGACACGGAGGACGTGTGAGTGATGGGGATACAGGGGATGTGTGAGTGATGAGGACACGGGGGGACACGGGGGGACGTGTGAGTGCCGGGGACAGGGGGTGCGTGTGCCCCCGCCGCGTGCCCAGGGCCCCCCCGTTGCCCCCCCAGCCCCCTCATGCTGGAGGCCGAGAACTTCACCCTCTTCATCAAGAACAGCATCCGCTTCCCGCTCTTTGGCTTCGAGAAGTGCGTGCCCAGGGACCGGGACCGGGACCGGGCCGGGCCGGGCCGCGGAGCCCCCCCCCCGGCGCCGCCTCACGGCCGCGTCCCCCCAGGGCCAACCTCCCCCCGCCCGGCGCCGTGCCCGGGGGGGACCTGGGGCGCTGCCGCTTCCACCCCCAGCTCCAACCGCTCTGCCCCATCCTGCGCCTCGGGGACGTGGTGCGGCTCGCGGGGCAGGACTTCCGCACGCTGGCAGCCACCGTGAGCCGCGCCGGGGCCGCGGGGCAGGGGCACAGGGGCCGCAGGCACAGCGAGGGGGGCGTGGGGACACAGATGTGGGGTGTGGGGACACGGGGGTGTGAGGTGGAGGATGTGGGACATGGCGGGTGGGCATGGGGACACGGGGCACAGGAGCATAGGGCGTGGGGACATGGGGATGTGGGATGAAGGGATACAGGGGATGGGGACACGGGGCACAGGAGCATAGGGCGTGGGGACATGGGGATGTGGGATGCAGGGATACAGGGGATGGGGACACGGGGCACAGGAGCATAGGGCGTGGGGACATGGGGATGTGGGATGAAGGGATACAGGGGTTGGGGACGTGGGGCACAGGAGCATGGGACATGGGGACATGGGGATGTGGGATGAAGGGATACAGGGGTTTGGGGCACGGGACGGGGGCATAGGGATGGGGATGTGGTGACGTGGGATGGGGAAGGGGATGGGGACACGAGGCACAGGAGCATAGGGCCTGGGGACATGGGGATGTGGGATGAAGGGATAGAGGGGATGGGGACACGGGACACAGGAGCATAGGGCGTGGGGACATGGGGATGTGGGATGAAGGGATACAGGGGATGGGGACACGGGGCACAGGAGCATAGGGCGTGGGGACATGGGGATGTGGGATGCAGGGATACAGGGGATGGGGACACGGGGCACAGGAGCATAGGGTGTGGGGACATGGGGATGTGGGATGAAGGGATACAGGGGTTTGAGGCAGGGGATGTGGGGACACAGGGATGAGGGATGTGGTGACATGGGACATGGGGATGTGGGACATGGGGATGTGGGATGAAGGGATACAGGGGTTTGGGGCACGGGACGTGGGGACACAGGGGTGAGGGATGTGGTGACATGGGACATGGGGATGTGGGATGCAGGGATACAGGGGTTTGGGGCAGGGGACGTGGGGACACAGGGATGAGGGATGTGGTGACATGGGACATGGGGACGTGGGACATGGGGACGCAGGGATGTGGGTTGTAGGGAGTGGGATGTGAGGACATTGGGACATGGGGATGTGGGATGTGGGACATGGGGACACAGGGATGTGGGTTGTAGGGAGTGGGATGTGGGGACATTGGGAATGGGGTCACAGAGGAGCATGGGTGTGAGTGCACAGGGTCTGGGATGGGGGACACGGGACATGAGATGCAGGACACAGAGACACGGAGATGTCCTGGGGGACAGCGGGGTGAGGGCCATGGGTCTGCGTGGGCACCCACGGGGTGACGCTGGCCCCGCGCGGTGGCGCAGGGGGGGGTGCTGGCCATCAAGATCGGGTGGGTTTGCGACCTGGACCAGGGCGGGGAGCGCTGCCTGCCCCGCTACTCCTTCACCCGCCTGGACGGGCTCTCCCACGCCATCGGCTACAACTTCAGGTACGGCACGGGCGGGGCCGGGGCCGGGGCCGGGGCTGGGGCTGGGGCCGGGGCTGGGGCCGGGGCCGGGGCCGGGGCCGGGGCCGGAACGCGCCAGCGCCGCTCCCGTGCGCCACGGCCCCGTCCCCGCCAGGCACGCCCGGTACCACCGCTGCCAGGACGGCCCCGAGCGCCGCACCCTCACCAAAGCCTTCGGCATCCGCTTCGATGTGCTGGTGTACGGCCACGTGCGTGTGGGGCCGGGGGGCACGGGGGGGGCTCGGGGGGGGGGGGGTTGGGGGCTCCCCCACAAATGGGATCTCTGCACCCCCAGGCAGGGAAGTTCGGCATCGTCCCCACCCTCATCAACGCGGTGGCCGCGTTCACCTCCATCGGGGTGGTGAGTTGTGGCCGTTCCCAGCCCCTTTGTGGCAGCATCGCCCCAGGTGGTGGGGGGAGCCCCCCTATTCCTATGATGGGGCTTGGGAGAGGCCCTGAGCACCCCATAGGTGTGGGGCAGAGTGGCGGTGATGCCCCATAGTGATCGGGAGGGGAGGTGGAAGAGAACCCCACAGCCATGCAGTGTGCAGACACAGCAGAGCCCCTGCCTGGCTCCATGGGGTGCTGTGGGGTGTCACTGGGTGCCCTATAGCGCCCCCCCGAACGCTGCCGCCCCAGGGCACGGTGCTGTGCGACATCATCCTGCTCAACTTCCTGAAGGGAGCCGAGCACTACAAGGCCCGCAAGTTCGAGGAGGTCAGTGGGGCTGGGGCTGCCGTGGGACCACTGTGGGGCTGGGGCTGCCGTGGGGCTGGGTCAGGACACACAGGGGGATGCGTGGGGCTGGATGGGGGGTCCATGCCCAAGCAGTGCCCCTGACCCCTGCGGTGCCCTGGCCATGGGGCAGGGACTAACCCAGGCCCACGCGCTGCCCCCCAGGTGCCAGAGGTGGATGTGGCATCGTCCCCTGGCAGCCCCACGGCGCCGGGCCCCGGGGAGCTCGGCCTCTGCCCCCGGGACAAGCAATCCACGGACTCGGGCACCTTCTCCCTTGGCCACTAGCGCCGGGCACAGGGATGGGGGGGGACCCTGGGCTCCGGGGCAGTCCCATAGGGGCCACCCAAGGCTTGCACCGGGGCCACGGTGCCCAGGGCTCATTGGGACCCCCCAGAGGCTCCAACCGCTCCTCCTGACCCCGGTGCCCACCCTGGGTGCCCCAGCCCTGTCCCTGTGTCCCAGTGCCCATCACTGCACGTCCCAGCCCTGCCCATGTCCCCACGTGCCCCAAGCCCTGAGGTGCCACATTCCCATCCCCCCCCCCCATGCCCAGGTCCCTGCAGCTCCCACATCTCCACCCAGGGTGGCCGGGGGGGCTGGGGCTGCTTCCTGGGGCAATGGGTGCTGCTGGGTGCTGCTGGGTGCCAGGGCTGAGCCCCCTGGAAGGGTCCCAGTGACCCCAGCATCCTCCTGCTCCCCACAGCCCCACACCGGGGGCTGCACCCCCCACCCCAATAAACCTTTGGTTCGCTGCACTCAGTCTCCAGGCTGTGCCGGGGAGGGGTCATGGGGGTCTGGGGGCAGCGGATGCCCAACCCCATAGCAGACACTGGAGAAGCCCCAGTGGTGGGAGGTGCTGCCCAGGGAGAAGAGGGGTTGTCGGTATTTATTCCCCCCCAGATGCACCCCAGCCTGGGGCAGAGCTCCCCAAAGTCCAATAGAAAACAGGGTTCCGGGTTCCAGGTGCTGGGGTCCGGGTGTGGGGCTCAATGGGTCGCCTCGTCTGGGGTCTCGGTGCTGGGGGGCGCTGCCAGGGGGGTGCCGGCAGCCCCCAGCTCCTTGGCTTGGCGCCGGCACTCCCGGGCCACCACCACGGGGCTGACGAAGGCCAGGAGCACCACGGCGATGAGCCCCAGGTTCACCTGTGGGGGACAGGGCGCAGGGTCAGGGGTGCTCTCCTTACCCTAGGGGTGCCCTGGGCCAGCCCCACAGACCCCCCGGTCCCCAGTGCTTGGTGCAGGACCCCCACTCCCTGTGAGGCAGGAGCCCCCCAAGGGGCAGCCCCCCCCCCCTCCATGGGGCAAGACCCATTCCCCATGAGACAGGACACCCATCTCCCTATGGGGCAGAACCCCCACCCCTCCATGGGGCAAGACCCATTCCCCATGAGACAGGGCCCCCATCTCCCTATGGGGCAGGACCCCCACCCCTCCATGGGGTAAGACCCATTCCCCATGGGACAAGACCCCCACCCCTCCATGGGGCAAGACCCATTCCCCATGAGACAAGCCCCCCACCCCTCCATGGGGCAAGACCCATTCCCCATGGGACAAGACCCCCATCTCCCTATGGGGCAGAACCCCCACCCCTCCATGGGGCAAGACCCATTCCCCATGGGACAGGGCCCCCATTTCCCTATGGGGCAGGACCCCCACCCCTGCCGGAGCAGCCACTCACGTAGAAGGGGTCCCCTTGGAGCGGCCCCTGCACCAGCGCCACGCAGGGGTACTGCAGCAGTGCCACCAGTGCCGACAGCGCCATGGCCAGGCCATAGAGCTTCCCGAAGTGCTGCGGGGGGAACCTGTGCCGCCACGCACCGTGAACCGCGCCACCCTCACACCCTGGCCCCGCCACCCCCATGGTGACCCCAACACCCTGCCCCCTGCCACCCCTCCAGCCCTGCCACTATCCCCCATCATCCCAGTGACCCCCTCACCCTGTCCCCTGCCACTATCCCCCATCATCCCAGTGACCCCCTCACCCTGTCCCCTGCCACTATCCCCCTCCCCGTGACCCCCACCCTGTCCCCTGCCACTATCCCCCATCATCCCAGTGACCCCCTCACCCTGTCCCCTGCCACTATCCCCCATCATCCCCGTGACCCCCTCACCCTGTCCCCTGCCACTATCCCCCATCATCCCAGTGACCCCCTCACCCTGTCCCCTGCCACTATCCCCCATCATCCCCGTGACCCCCTCACCCTGTCCCCTGCCACTATCCCCCATCATCCCAGTGACCCCCTCACCCTGTCCCCTGCCACTATCCCCCATCATCCCCGTGACCCCCTCACCCTGTCCCCTGCCACTATCCCCCATCATCCCCGTGACCCCCTCACCCTGTCCCCTGCCACTATCCCCCATCATCCCAGTGACCCCATCACCCTGTCCCCTGCCACTATCCCCATCATCCCCGTGACCCCCTCACCCTGTCCCCTGCCACTATCCCCCATCATCCCCGTGACCCCTCACCCTGTCCCCTGCCACTATCCCCCATCATCCCAGTGACCCCCTCACCCTGTCCCCTGCCACTATCCCCCATCATCCCCGTGACCCCCTCACCCTGTCCCCTGCCACTATCCCCCATCATCCCCGTGACCCCATCACCCTGTCCCCTGCCACTATCCCCCATCATCCCAGTGACCCCCTCACCCTGTCCCCTGCCACTATCCCCCATCATCCCCGTGACCCCCTCACCCTGTCCCCTGCCACTATCCCCCATCATCCCAGTGACCCCCTCACCCTGTCCCCTGCCCACCGCCGCCTCCCCTTGGTGCCCGCACTCACGCGATGGCGAGGAAGGCGGCGTTGCCCCCGTACAGGAAGGAGCGGCTCAGCACCTGCAGCACGAAGGTGCCGAACTGGACGGGCAGCACGGGCACGGCCGCGGCGATGGAGAAGAGCAGGCCCAGCACCACGGTCACCACCAGCGACAGCACCGACGCCCGCAGGTCAGCCAGCGCCGCCAGGGCTCCTGCGGGACCGCGGCGTCAGGGCTCGGCCTAGCGGGGGGCACGGGGGGCAGCGCCGGGACGGGGGGTGGGTACGTGGTTACCATCGGGCTGCGGGGCCTTGCCGCGCTTGTGCCGGTCGAGGATGAGGCCGTTCCACGGGGCGCAGAGCACCCCGCAGAGCTGCGTGAAGGCGAAGGCGTTGGTGTAGGTGCTCACTGCGGGGGGACAGCGTCAGCGCGGGGCCGGGCGCGCTCCCGGTGTGTCCCGTTCCCCCCCCCCGGGCCCGCACGTACCGAGGCCGGCGTCGCCGCGGGCCAGGCGCTGCAGCAGCGGGTTCAGGGTCCCGATGAACAGGTAGTGCCGGAGCTGCAGCACCGACAGCCACGCCACGTGCCACGCGAACCGCGCCGAGCGCGCGCACGCCGCGAACGGCACCGGGGCGGGGGGGGCGGGGCCTGCGGGGGGGGGAGGGGAGTAAGACACGGGCACGTGCATACGGGCAGGTCCCGCCCCCCGCAGCCATTGGCCCCGCACATACCCCTCCCCCCACGCCCGTTCACGACCTGCGGCCACGCCTTCTACATCTGCATAGCCACGCCCGCCTCAATTGCACCACCACGCCCACGTCCCCGCACGCCCGTGTGGAGCCACGCCCAACTCGTGGACACGCCCCCTTCATCTGCATAACCCCGCCCCTCACCTCGGGGCGCTACCGGCTCCAGCGGCGTCTCCTCGGGCCCCGCCTCCCCCGGCGGCCGCTTCTCCTCGTAGGTGCGGTAGGAACGCGAGCGGCCCGGGCAGCGCAGCCTGGGACCAGCACCGCCGCCATGGGACCAGCACCCGCGGGATGGGAGCCGCCCCCCCCCGGGGCCATCACCCACCACAGGATGGGACCCACCACAGGATGGGACCCACCACTCATGGGATGGGAACCACCACTGGATACCAGTGGGACCCATCACCACCCACCACAGGATGGGACCCACCACAGGATGGGACCCACCACCCATGGGATGGGAACCACCACTGGATACCAGTGGGACCCATCACCACCCACCACAGGATGGGACCCACCACCAACTGTCACAAGACAGGACCCACCACCCATGGGATGGGAATCACCATTGGGTACCAGTGGGACCCATCACCATCCCCCACAGGATGGGACCCACCACCCATAGGGTGGGAACACCAAACATCCAGCATGGGGCCCACCACCACCCATCACAAGACAGGATCCACCACCCACAGGACAGGAATGGGTACCAGTGGGACCCACCACCACCCATCACAGGACAGGACCCACCACCCATAAGATGGAACCCACCATGGGATGGGACCCACCACCATCACCCATCGACCCACCACCACCCCCCCCACCATGGGGTGGGACCCACCACCATCACCCATCAACCCCCCCCCCCCCATGGGATGGGTGCTGCTGCCCCGTGGGGCAGAGGCAGGGCCTTCCCTACCCGTAGTTGTAGGCAGGGGGCAGTGGGTAGGGGATGCGGGTGCGGGGCATGAGGAAGAGGGTGCGCAGCAGGTGCCAGGCGCTGCAGGCTGCCATGAAGAGGAACATGGTCCGCAGGGACAGCCCGTGCCCATACAGCACCTACAGATGGGGACAGGGATGGGGACAGGGACAGGACAGGCTGGTCGGCCGCCCGCCGCTGTCCCACCCTGGGGCCACAGTCCTGTACAGCCCCACTGTGTCCTCATGGTGGCCCCAGCAGTGGCTCAATGGTGGCCCAACTGTCACCATCTCTGTCCTGAGCCCTCCTCACGGTGCCTGTGCAGGGGCTGGGCCCCGGGGACACCCAGCACCCCCATTGCCCACCTTGATGATGAGGAAGATGGCAGAGGAGGAGTCGAAGGCCCCATTGTAGAGGGTGATGATGATGGAGCGGTACTTCCCAAAGAGATTGCCCACCTGGCATGGAGAGACCCCCCTGTGCCATCAGGATCCCCCAGCACCGGGTGTCCCGGCCACCGAGCGGGGGTCAGGGTGCTGGGAACTCACCTGCATGTTGGTGAGGATGAGGAGGATGCCGCCCACCGACAGCATGGACATAGCCGGGAAGAGCAGCACCGACAGCTCTGGAGACAGGGGTCAGTGGTGGCAAGGGGGGTCCTCACCAGCTCACCCCCAAAGCCCACGGGGTCTCACCTGGGGTTGAGAAGGCAACGAGCAGGGTCCCGCCGGTGTAGAGGGAGCTGCAGGGGTGGGACAGTGGTGACAACCGGGACAGGGTCCTGGGGGGGTGGCACACCCACACCCCATCACACCCTGCACCCCAGTATCCCATGAGTGCTCCTGGGGACACCGGGGGAGCCCTGGGGACATCAGGGAGACCTGAGGGCATATAAAGAACTGGGGGCAATGGGGGTGTGGGGGACACACAGGGGACAATTGGTGGCACTGGGGGGCAGGTGCCAGAATGGGCTGTACCCCAACACCAGCACCATGGGCTCACATGGGTCACCCCCGGGCTCACATGGGTGCTCCCCCCACCATGGGTCCCCCTGCACAGGCAGGGCCCTGCCTCCCCCACCCCGCCTGCCTGCCCCGATAACACCCGTGCTTGATAACAACCCCAGCACCCCCACAAGGCCGTTCACCCCCCCAGCACCCAGGGGTGCCCGGCACTGCCCCCCGCTCACATGGCAATGAGGCGA